CAGCAGGAGTGAGGTAAAACTTGGTTAACTTTGAATGAAACTTTAGGGCGACTTCATCTCAGTTTGAAATGAGTCTTGTCAGCTCTCCTCTGTATTTTGACACTTAATATAATAGAAAATAAAAGCCTGGGGTTCAGTCTGGAGAGGACCCTGCTTCTGCTGAGCCAACCCGGCTCAAAATGCACAGTGTGCACCCCTTTTCTGAAGGTGGGAGTTACAAGCACAGCTCTGAAAAGTGAATTCAATGCAGCCCACTGCCACAGAGTAACACAAGTGCTTTCTGAAATTGCTTTCTGAGCTCTCCACACCAGCTTGAGGTAACCAAGCTGTCAAGTTTCGTGGTTCTTCATTCAAAAGCTGCTCTTTCAGGTGTGACTGTTACCAGTGGGTCAGCCTAGGAAATGAGGTTACTCTGTATTTTAAACCTCAGATACACAGTAAATTATTTTTAAAACCAAAAAGCTCAACAGCAACAATAAGTTAAATAAGCTTCAACCCTGCTTCTAGTCGTGAGGTGAAGAGGGATAGTGAATTTGAGGAAATAACTACAAAAAATTTTCGTTATTAGAGAGAATTAAAAGCTGGTGAAGTCTTATTTGCATGTTAATCAGCGGCGAGGTGGGAAGCGAAGTTAGAGCAGTGAGCCTGGCTGGGATCTGCTTTGAGCTGACACTGCTCAACCTGTTTAACTCCCCTGCTCCCTCCTTACTATGTGAGTACACCTGGTGAATACTCTGCAGGGAACAGCTTAATACTGACCACGTTAAAATACCTCATCAAGTTAAACGTTTAATGACAGGTAAGAAAATACTTTGAGGTGACAAAGGGACAGGTTTTCATCTGACAGTGACTGTGGGAAGAGCCTGGGGAGATGAAACTGCTCCTCTGCCTGCTGGGCTCAGGTTTTAGGTATGGGCTGGTGTGTTTATGTTCCATTAAAGCTAATTTGCAGGAGAATATATTGTTACTCTTGCAATTGACAGGATTCTCTTTTTGAAGAGACTTTGATGGTACAAAATAATTTCTTGAAGTTCCTTCATTTGCCTTATAAATTAGTGTCAGTATTTGTGCTTTTGGACAAGTTGAGCTCTAAAGACTGTTCATTAGTTTGGGTTTAGTGAGACTAAGTTCCTCAATTAGTAAAACTGTACCTTGGATAAGAGGTAGTTTTGTTATTAATTTGGTTTTGGGTCCCTTTTTTGGGGGGAAAATGGAAAGGATGGTGAGAGTGTCTCTGAATTTTTGTGCATTCACACCACAAAGTACCCCAGAAAGTTTTTTAGTGTTTTATACAATAAAACAAACCTCATCTCTGAAGGCATTATGTTAAATAATTTATATTAACTTTTGTAAAGTTGCTTTCCTTTAACTCGGTGGAAGTTGGAGAGACAAAACAGCTATTTCTGGAGGGTGCCAGACCCATCTTGAGAACCTCCATAGTTCTCAGTATGGCATGAAGTCCTTTGGGACTTGCCCTTGGCACGTGAAAACATGATTCCACGGGGGAAAAAAAATGGAGCAGAGCTTGCTGCAAGCCAGGCTTTTAAATGGGAACTGAACCCAACTTCCATCTCATCTGCATGGGGTTGGCACATTGAGGTTGGCCACACACACAGCTTCAAATTAGGGGATGAGAATGTCCATGAAGGTGGCTGTAACCGCTCCCCGGAGGGGCTGGTGGTTTGGAATGCAAAGTGATGGATCTCATCTCAGCAAATCTTAGTGATGTCTGACAGTTCCCTAATTGTCAAATTAAGCTTTTGTTTTCATAACCTAAAGGCTACTTGGGGTGTTCAAAGGGACTTTGACCATGACCAAGGCGTGGAGCAGGTTTTTTTTCCTCTCTGAATTTGAAGCCTTTCTTCTGCTGCTGTCGCCGTGCTAGAAAAGGCTCCTAATGAAACGCTATTAATTACTCCCCATTTTCAGGTATTTTTTTTTAGTATGTGCCCACAGCACTGGAGCAAAGTTGTGTTTTGAGGCTTTAAATCCCTGTTTCTTTGCAAGTTCTTGGAATATTATCAGCTCTGAAATTTTAAATTGTCAGGATAAAGCTGTTTTCATGGGTAATAAGTTTAAGGAAGGTATAATTAGGGACAGTGATGATTTTCATCACTGACAGTGGTGATGTTCATTTCTGGGATAGAAAAAGTCACTATTAAATGATAGTTCCCAGGAAAGTAGCTCAGTTTTATTCAAGACTTGAGAAAGTAATGACACTTTCTCACCCTAAGCAGGTCAAATTTAGGCTTGTAACTTTTTAGGGAGCTGAATGCAGGAAGTTGTCTTCATGGGCAGGTTGAATCCTGAAGATTATAAACAGCTGAGAGATGGGAGTTCACTTCCACTGAGTTTTTTTTCCTCCATATTCCCCTTCTCTCTACATCCTTCCCCCAAACCCTCCCTCAAACACCAGAATAAGGGCTGATAAGTACGTTACACAGGTAAGAAGCTACAAAAAGTAGAAGATAATGTTTGGTTGGCAGGTAAGATGCTGTTTTCAAAGCCTGAGCAGGAGCTGTGGGGAAGTCCAGTCCCACATTGTGCATCAGGAACACAACACACTCCCATCTGAGCACGGGAAGCTCGCTAAGCCTTTGTGGTTAATCTTTTTGGCAAGGAAACAAGTTTTTAGAGCATTTCTAACAAAGGAGGTGTTTTGAGGCCGGGCCTGTTTATGTGCCCAGCCCTAAGGTAGGGAGAGGTGAGGCACGGGAATTCCCAGGCTGATTTTATTCAGGATCCCTTGAAATTTGTTCAACTCATTCTAACTATTGAGTGCTTTTTTTTTTTGGTGGTGTTTTTTTATGATCCCTTGAAATTTGTTGAACTCTTTCTAAATATTCAGTGCTTATTTTTTTCTTGGTTTTTTTTTGATCCCTTGAAATTTTTTCACCTCATTCTAACTATTTAGTGCTTATTTTTTGTTGTTTTTTTATGATCCCTTTAAATTTGTTCAACTTATTCTAATTATTGAGTGGGGTTTTTTTTTGTTGCTGTTTTTTTATGATCCTCGAAATTTGTTCACCTCATTCTAACTATTGAGTGGTTTTTTTGCACGGGAATTCCCTGTTGTTGTTTTTTTATGATCCCTTGAAATTTGTTCAACTCATTCTAACTATTGAGTGCTTTTTTTTGTGTTGGTTTTTTTTTGATCCCTTGAAATTTGTTCACTTCATTCTAACTAGTGAGTGTTTTTTTGTTGTTGTTGGTTTTTTTTATGATCCCTTGAAATTTGTTCAACTCATTCTAACTATTGAGTGGTTTTTTGTTGTTCATGATCCCTTGAAATTTCTTCACCTCACTCTAACTATTCAGTGCTTATTTTTTGTTGTTTTTTTATGATCCCTTGAAATTTGTTCGACTCTAACTATTGAGTGTTTTTTTGTTGTTCATGATCTCTTGAAATTCGTTGAATTCATTCTAACTATTCAGTGCTTATTTTTTTCTTGTTGTTTTTTGTTTGTTTGGGGTTTTTTTTACAGAACAATGCCTACACTGCAATGTCTGATTCCTACTTACCAAACTACTACAGTCCCTCCATTGGATTCTCCTACTCCTTAGGCGAAGCTGCCTGGTCTACGGGAGGTGACCCACCCATGCCCTACCTAACCTCTTACGGACAGCTAAGCAATGGGGAGCCTCATTTTCTCCCAGATGCCATGTTCGGGCAGCCAGGGGCTCTTGGCAGCACTCCATTTCTGGGACAGCACGGCTTTAACTTCTTTCCAAGTGGGATTGATTTTTCAGCTTGGGGGAATAACAGTTCTCAGGGACAATCCACTCAAAGCTCTGGCTACAGCAGTAATTACGCCTATGCCCCGAGCTCGTTGGGTGGAGCGATGATTGATGGGCAATCTGCCTTTGCTAATGAATCTCTTAACAAAGCTCCTGGGATGAACACCATCGACCAAGGGATGGCTGCTCTGAAGTTGGGTAGCACAGACGTCGCGAGCAACGTCCCCAAAGTCGTCGGTTCGGCTGTGGGTAGCGGATCCATGACCAGTAACATGGTGACATCTAACAGTTTGCCTCCAGCTACCATCGCTCCTCCAAAACCAACCTCTTGGGCTGACATCGCCAGTAAACCAGCTAAGCAGCAGCCTAAGCTGAAGACCAAGAATGGCATTGCAGGTTCAAGTCTTCCACCTCCTCCCATAAAACATAACATGGATATTGGAACTTGGGATAACAAAGGGCCGGTGGCAAAAACACCTTCGCAGGCTTTAGTTCAGAATATTGCTCAGCAACCAGCCCAGGTGTCCCCTCAACCCGTGGGTCAGCAGATCACTAACAGCCCACCGGTGGCACAGGCTTCCAGCGGGCAGCAGCCCCAGCCTCTTCCCCCGCCACCGCCGCAGCCAGCCCAGCTGCCCGTGCCCCAGCAGGCGGCTCAGCCCACCCGTTGGGTCGCACCTCGTAATCGTGGTAACGGGTTCGGTCAGAACGGAGTGGATGGGAACGGAGTGGGACAGTCTCAAACCAATTCTGGTTCTGTTCCTTCAGAACCTCATCCGGTCTTGGAGAAGTTAAGATCTATCAACAATTATAACCCCAAGGATTTTGATTGGAACCCAAAACACGGCCGGGTTTTCATCATTAAGAGTTATTCTGAGGACGATATCCACCGGTCCATTAAATACAACATCTGGTGCAGCACAGAGCACGGCAACAAGAGACTGGATGCTGCTTATCGCTCCATGAACGGGAAAGGCCCCGTTTACTTACTGTTCAGTGTCAACGGTAGTGGTCACTTCTGCGGAGTAGCAGAAATGAAATCTGCTGTGGACTATAACACCTGTGCGGGTGTGTGGTCCCAGGACAAGTGGAAGGGACGTTTTGATGTCAGGTGGATTTTTGTGAAGGACGTTCCTAACAGTCAACTGCGACACATCCGTCTAGAGAACAACGAGAATAAACCAGTGACCAACTCCAGGGACACTCAGGAGGTGCCTCTGGAAAAAGCTAAGCAGGTGTTGAAAATCATTGCCACCTACAAGCACACCACCTCCATCTTCGATGACTTCTCACACTATGAGAAACGCCAAGAGGAGGAGGAAAATGTTAAAAAGGTAACTTGTTTGTCTGTCTCGGCGAAGTCCTGACGACTAAATCCAGGGTCTGAACGTGTGGGCTTGTGAGCAGCTTTGGTGGCCATCAGGCTGCCCTTTTGGCTTGCACGTGGAACCCATTACCCAAAGGGCAGCTCTGATTTGGGGTGGAAATGGGTGCCAGCACCCCAGCAGAGCGGTGTGAGGAGGTTTGCCAGGCCCTGCCTGCAATCAGCTGCTAGACCCCAGCCTTCCCCGAGTGCTGTATTCTAAACAAGTTGTATTTCTGTGCTGTTGTCAGCTCATGGATCAGGACAGTGTGAAGTACGAGTTGTTTTTTCCTCCATATTCCACTTCTCTCTGCATCCTTCCCCCAAACCCTCCCTCAAACACCAGTAGGGGATCAGTGGGGGGTTTGGGGAGTTGTTAGGACACACAGCCAGGTCTTTGAACAACCACTTAATCCACCCCCTACCCACAGTGGGGTCAGTGTGACAGATGTTTCCCACCACTTGTAAAACCTTCAGGAATGGCAGTTCCTGTCCCTCCTTGGGCAATCTATTCCTACACTTAATTATCCTTCTCGTTAGAAGGCTTTGTCTAATGCCCAACCTAAATCTCCCTCACTGCAATTTCAGTCAGTAACTACTTGTCCCCTCTCTTGGGTGGACGTGGAGAGGATCAGTCTGTTCCTCTTGGCAGCGAGCTCTGCTTGTGTGTGAAGCCAGTGGGCTGTCACCTGCATGGGCACTGTGGCACATGAGCCACGCTGGCCACCTGCCTGTGACTGTGTTGGCTTCTTACTTGGGTCCATCAGCTCGAAACCTGCTGTCATGGATTCGTTAACAGGAGGATTGTTAATTAAAAATTCTGCCCTAAAATTCAATGGGCCTTGAATCTTTCTTGGATACGGCTGCGTGGCAGTTCCCTGTAGCTGGCCTTCCCCACAACAGAGGTCTTGCATGTGTTTGATCAAACCACTAATTACAAATTAGCATTAACACAACCCCCTGAGAGTTTTCACAGAATCCCAGACTGGTTTGGGTTGAAAGGAAGGGGACCTAAAAGATCATCCAGTCCCACCCCCCCTGCCATCAGCAGGGACCCCTTCCACTAGACCAGGTTGCTCAAAGCCTCATCCAGCCTGGCCTTCAACACTTCCAGGGAGGGGGCAACCTGTTCCAGTGTCTCACCACCCTCACAGTGAAGAACTTCTTCCTAATATCTCATCTAAACCTCCCCTCTTTCAGTTTTGACAGGTTTTTTGATGACCTCTTTTTAAGTTCAGCAATAGGGAATTTTCCACCCAGCAGTTGGAAGAACTGCATCAGGAGCTGCAGCTGCTCACCACGGCAGTGAAAGCAGTTTTAATTTTATATATATATAAAAATATATATTTTACTTGGAGCATTGTCTGTATAAATAACATCACCCATACACCAAGGTGTTCACCTTCTGCAGCTGACACCCTGGCACTTAGAGCTCTTGAAGAAAATCCATAAGGGAGGAATACATTGCAAGGTGTGGAGGTGTGAACTTGATTTTTTTGTAAGAACCTGAATATTTTGTGTGACTTCACATCCTAAAACTCTTCTGCTTGATCACCACCAGTCTGTAGTGAAGTGATTATTTCTCTTTTAATGAGGTTTTGAAAACGAGTCTGTGCAGGACATCGTAGGAAGTGGGACTTCTCCAGCTGTGACTTTAGGGAGCAGCAGTTTGCAGTGTGAGAGGGACAGACCTTGGCACAGCAGGAGAGCACAAGGAGCAGGGAAAACATTGCCAGAAGGGAGGTGGGGTTGGATGGATGAGAAGAGTTAACACTGGGGAGGTGCCAGCAGGTAGGAAGGAGAAGGAAGAGTGACAGAGTGGGGAAGGCTGAGGAAAAAGTGATCAGACCAGTGGTCTCTGCTGTGTTTTCAAGCTGTTTGTAATGTCTGGAAATCAGTAAAGTATTAAAAACGTGGCTTAGCAATTTTCTTAAAACTACAAACCATCTTCATCATCTTTCCAGTTGTATTTTGAAGTCTCCTCCCTGCTTTCTTCAGTTCCTTTGAGACGTGTAGCCTGGGAGGGGTAGAAGCTGTGGCTGATGGATGTTCAGTGTGCCAGCACCTCCTTTCTAATTAACATTCGAAGCTGTTGATTAGGAAAACATTTATTCTTTGAAAGGGAACCTTATCTTATGTCTTAGGAATTCATAGGAAGGTGGGAGCCTTGTAGATATCCAGTCAGTGTTTGCTTTTTCCCATTGACTCACTCTTTGTTGCACACTTGGGGCCCCAGCCCTGTCACATCCGGCACGGAGGAAGTGACTTGCTCTTTTCTTTCAGCAGCAGTTTGACCTCCTCGATTGCTTGCTGACGCAGCCTTGAAGATGGTTGAGGTTTCCATCACTGCTCTTTCATGGTTTCATTGAGAAGCAGTTGGTTTTGCTCAAGGAAGGTGGTGTTTTTGGGTTTTTTTGCGTTTTGTGTTGGTTTTTTTTCCTGGAGTGAATGCTGATGGCTACCCTGGAACTGTAGGTGACAAAAAAACCCCAAACAACCCCTAGCCACACAATATCTGCCTTGAAGCATCACCTGGGTTCAAAAATACATCAGAAACCAGAGTTGAGGCACTGGAAAGTTTAAAATGAAGCAGCTGGTGGTGCAGCTCCCTGCCTGCAGTCTTGTCAAGCTGCTTTTGTGTCAGGGAAATCCCATTGCTACCAGCTTACTGTCTCTGCCACCAGTCTGTGGATGAATGTTCTGCATTCCTGTTCCTTGAAGCTTAAAACATCTCAAGGTTTGGGTTGTTTTGAACTTCTAACAAGCTGCAGTTGTCTCATTTGGCTTCCAGCTCGCCTAAAACTTGGATTTGCGGTTTGATTCCTGAAAATGGGATGAGCTGTTGTGAAAGTCTGGGAACTCTTGAATATTCTTTTCTTTTATACTTCTTACTGTTAGAGTCACTTCTGAATTCCCTAAAATAGTTCCAAGAAATCATCTGAAAAGTGCTTGGCTTAGTGTTCCTGCTGTTCCCTTTGGCTGGTGAAGGGGAGTACACAATTCTGGGTTGAAAACACTGAAGTCACACTCTTGTTTGTCCTTTTTCTGCTGCCTGTGCCCACCTTGTCCTCAGAGCCTGATCTCCATTTCTTTCAAGTGTCTTGCTTTGCTCTACTAATTCCATTTTTTTTTTTAAATGTTTGGATGTTCTCTTGGGCCAAAATGATGAAGCTGATTCCCAGTGCAATCCTACCTGAAGCAGTTGAGGACTTAAAACTCCTAACAGCTGCTTTTATGGTAGAGCCTGTCACTAACTTCTACCCTGTAAGAACTGTTTTATCTTTGTTTAAAACAAACAAACAAACAAAACCCCCAACACCACCAGAAATCCCTGATCTGTAGTGAAACACTTGTGTTTCTAGGAATGTTGAAGTCACCTCAGTGTAAAGAGAGTGATCTGCTTGCATGTGGAAGGTAACAGCTTGTGTTTTCTGGAGAAGCAGTGAATGTAAACTCTAAGGGAAGTTTATTTTGCTTCTTTCTCCCATTGCCTTGACCAAGGTTGGGGTACATGGCTACTTGCAGGTTCTAGGGGTTTTAGGAAGCATATCCCACGAAAATCAGTCCTGTCCTGTCCAAGTGCTCAGCTCTCAGGTTTGGAGTTGGGAAGAGACTCGGGTGGGTGTTGAGTCAGGATGAGCTGTGCAGGATGGAGTGGCTTTTTGTGGGGGTTTTTTCACGCTGAGATCTACCAGCCTTGAAAGAGAAAGGTGTGATTTGCCAGACTGCAACTATTATTCTCTGAAATGTGCTGCTTTGTGTCTCAGCTGACACCATCTGCTGGTTAAAAGAGTATTAATAGTGGCAAGTGTCACTGCTCCCCTCAGAAGTTATGATTTAAGGGGACACTAAGTGGTGTTCTGTGAGCCTGTTTGAAACTAGCAGAGTGTTTCAGAGTCACTGTAAAAAAAGAAATGCTTTCTGATGTATTTTGCAAAGATCTTTCTTTTTTCTTCCCAATCTGTAATCTCAGAGGGGAGGAGGGAGCACATTTCCTGTAGGGTTTTTCTCCCACTGTTACACTCATCGTGGCTGGTGCTGGATTTGCTTTGGCTTTACCATATCCAACAGGACAGCATTTCTGAGGACAAGATTTGGTTCCTGGATATCCAAGCAAAGCCAGCAGTTTCCTCTGACAGCGAGAGAACACGACTTGCACTCACACAGTTCCTTTCATCCCATGATCCCAAGGCTATTTGCTTTTTCTGCTCCAAATCCTGACCATAGTGAAATTAATTGATTGATGTACTGGGGACAGAATTTCCTTGCTGCCAATACCCTCTGCTGTTCAGCAACACACAAAGTTTCTCTCAATTTTATTTCCAGGCCTTTTAAATCCTCTACATCTGTGTCTCTGCTCATAGATTTGCCCAATAATAGAGGAAATGGAAACCTTTCTGCTTATTCTAGTAGTTTGGTGCTGGCTCTTTGACACAAGAAGGTCTTTGTGCTGATGATATTTTTAAACCAGACTTACAAAGCCCTTAACAGCATTCTGGTGTATTTTTGGTTGTGTTCTAGCTTTGTTTAAAGGCAGGAGGGAGCTGGAGGGGAAGGTTTAGGTCTGGCTTGTGCTGTAATCTGTGGGATTTTTGTGCTGTAAGATGGGGAACTTTATTTCCTCATCCCTAAAACCAGAGCAGCTGGGAGCCATTTCACTGCAACTAAAGTGGAAGTTGGAACCTCGTAGCCCTGCCTCTCACTGTTAATATCTTGTTATCAGTCTTTAAAATAATATTTTAATACAATTAAAATAATATTTTGATACAATATAATTAATAAAATAATATTTTAATGCAATGCAATAATATTTTAATACAATATTTTAAGTTTATAAAATAATGTTTAAGGTAGACTTGTTGAAGTTGATTCAAGGAGCTGTTGAGATGCACTGTTCAGAATTGTTTCTCGAGGACTGGTGATGGGATTCTGGGCTGGACACATGAGGAGGTTTTGCACCTCTCACAGGTA